TGCTGTCAAAAACTTTTCGAAAGATATTTCATCAAAATTTTTCAAAAGAAGAACGAGAATCTTATTGGGAAGAATTTTATGAATTCCCAGGAGATTTAAGTTTTTATGAATGGGCTTAAATGTTGCAATCGAGCCGTATAAAATGTAATGAAGTTAGTTAAGTTATTAGTTTGATATTGATTAATATTCTCTCATAAACTTTTCTTATTATTTGTTTATTTATTTTCATTTAGGATGCATAAAGAGGAAATTAGAAATTCAGATAGTTGTATTGCTAAGAATGAAACCTTATTATAAATGAGACATGGAGACTTTCACTTTCTTGTTTGCAGAGAAAGGCAAACAGGACAATTGTATACTACTAAGAAACAACTTTTCACCTACGGAAAATTACCAACGGATGCGATCCATTGGAAATTAGAAATGGATTATCCGTTGGTAAAAGTTATTTACTTTCAGCTACGATAATCAGCAAAGGATTTTTCGTTGGTAACGATAGTATCTCTTTACCAACGGATATTCTGTACCTCATATGACCGTTTAACATTTGAATCTTTCACCTACGGAACGTATCGAATATTACCAACGGACGCAATCTGTTGGTAATTTGAAACGGATTATTTGTTGGTAATGGTAATTCACTTTCAACTATGATAATCAGTAACGGATTTTCCATTGGTAACGATGGTATTTCTTTACCATCGGATATTCCATACCTTATGTAATCATTTAATATTTGGATATTTCACCTACAGATATTCTGTTGGTAATTAGATACGGATTATTTGTTGTTAAAAGTAATTTACTTATCCCACATCGAAAGTTCACAACAAAGTCTTCGGAGTTACCCTCTATAAATTAATTTGTGGTCCAATGAGTGGTTAAACAATATTTTGACCTTTCAATTCGGTTGGCTAAAAGTTAAAAGAAAATTAGAATTATTAAATAAATAATAATAACAATAATAAAAATTAAATATTTTTTTTACCATGCCTCAAACCCATGCGGCTATTTACAACATTTATTTTTATCAATTGTATTGGTAGCTATTTATCAACGAAAAGTCGGTTAGTATTGATTAAAATTTTTACCAACAAAATAAAAGATTCACACTTTACCAACAAAAAATTCGTTGGTAAAATATTTACTCTTTACCGACGATAGGATTCGTTGGTAACTATCAGCAACCCTCAAATTAGCAACAGATTTGCGGTTGCAAATATTCCGTTGGTAAATAGTAATAGCATATCGATGTTTCAGGAACGAAAAATCCGTACCTGAAGCCATTTTTTTAGTAGTAACATGTCTAATACATTGAATGGCTTGCACGTCGGCCTAGATATGTTGTGATGTCACATTATTTTATGTTGTTAATGGACATCAATTTCATACGACGAATATTAGTAGAAGTATACAAAATAGTGATGTTTCTATTGAAGCACAAATATCTTATTACGAGGTTATAAGAAACATAATGTTATTAGATTATCATAGCTTTAAAGTCTATTGTGATTGGGCAAATATAGATAGCGGAGTCAAAGTTGAAGACAGATTTACATTGGTAAATCTTCATAAAGGACATCAATTTGAAGAGATCCATTTATTTCAGCATCACAAGCGAAACAAGTTTTTTATTCTAGAGAGAGCAATACATCTAGTTGGTAAATTGTATTGAAGACACTTCCCAGAGGATTTCATGAGTTAGAAAATTTTGATGAAGATGCTTATATTCCATCCACATTAGATGCATTAAGATTTCATGTGACTGCTGAAGATGTATCCCATCAAGTCATGGTTTTACATCTATAGGAAAGTTGAACCTAGAAAGGCTTATATGGGTGATAATAATTCTTCGACTGTTAGTGTATTGAGGGTATAGCCATCAAGTTGCATGTTGATATTATCAAACAATTAAGAAATGTAAGATATGTCTCCAATCTAAAAAGGAATTGCATATATTCGGGAATCCTTGAGGATGAAGGACATGTATTCAAATTTGAAAATATTAAACTAAAACTCATGAGAGGTTCCCTAATTATAGTAAAAGGACAAAAAATGGATTGTATTACCTAATGGATGATGCAATTGCTTCACAAGAAGCTAATATTCTGAGTGTTACTAATGATAAATTTAGAATGGGGCATATAGGACAAAAAGTGTGACATTTTTGAATAACCAAAAGTTACTTAATAAATGTCTTATTAAACCTAAACTTTTGTGAGACTTGCATGTTGAGGAAGTCTCACAAGGTAAGTTTTGAGACAAGTTCACATATATTGAAGAGACCTTAAGATTATGTCCATACAGATTTGTGGAGGCCTGAAAAGCATCCCACTTTTGTGGAAATAAGTACTTTCTGTCATTAGTAGATTACTACTATAGAAAAGTATACGTTTACCCCCCAAATCTGAGACTTTTCATAAATTTCGGACTTCGCTTAAAATTGTGGAAAATCAATTGGATAAGAAGTTAAAAACTTTGACAACTGATAATGGTCTAGAGTTTTGTAACTTGGAATTTGATAACTTTTGTAAGCAAGAGGATAGTGAAGTACACACCCCAGCAAGATGGGGTTGCAGAAAGAATGAATAGGACTTTGATGAATAAGGTCGGATGCATGCTTATTAGTTCAGGCCTTGCTAAGGGGCTTTGGGATGAGGCTGTATGCATTGCAGCATAACTGATTAATAGATCTTCATCTAGTTCTGTTGAGTTTAAAACTAATCACGAACTACGGACTTGAAAGCTACCAAATGTAACACATATTAGAGTATTGGGGTGTACAGTGAATGCACTCCAAAACTGAGGGCAAGTTGGAGCCTAAGGCCACTAAATGTATTGTGCTAGGCTATCCTAAAGGGGTTAAAGGTTGGTGGGTTTCAGGATACCAAGTATTAAGATCATTAGCAGTAGGGACATTTTGTTTAACGAATATGAAATGCCTTGTCCAAAATTCAAACAAGATGATTCTAAAAAAGTTAAATCTAACAAGAAATTTCAGAATGAGGTGAAGTTAACAATATATTACTTACTCAATCTGAAGAGAATGACCTTATTTCTCAAGGAGGAAGAAATGAGAATGAACCTGTAATTATTGAGGTTGATGTACCTCATGAAAAAACTAAATTGAAAGCTGACACCTTGATAATTGAAGAGATCCTATCCAAGATTACCATTTGGTTAGGGATAGAGAAAGAATGCAACTTAAACCAAATTCAAGATATGAGTCTTAGAACTTGACTGATTTTTCCTTAGTTTTAGGTGAAGGCATTGAACATGCAAAACCTTCTATTTTTCAAGAAGCTATGAATGGGCATAAATTTGAAACTGGAAAAAGGCGAAGAAATGCCATCCTTAGTTGAAAACAAGACTTGGAATTTGGTTAATTTGACTAATGGTGAAAGAATTGTGCACTAAAAGTGAATTTACAAATTGAAAGAAGGGATTGCTTATATTGAGATATTTTCTCTCATCATTAAATATACAACAATCTGATTGATTTTAATATTTGTTGTTCAATTCATTTGAGAACTTGAACCACTATATGTTAAAACTGCTTTCCTACGTTGGGAATTGGAGGAAAAAATCTATACGAGTCCATCCTTAGGCTCTGAGGTGAATTAAAAAGTGGACTTTGTTTGTAAATTGAAGAGGTTTGATAGGTTGCTCATGAAAATGTATGTGGATGCTCACTTTGCGGGCGACACAGATCATAGGATATCCACTACCACCTATTTCTTTACATTGATGGATAATTGTATAAATTGAAAAATCCTGATAACAATCTATTTTGACACTATATGTGGCAATAACTAAAGCCATGAAAGATTGCATTTGGTTGAAAGGAATTTTGCATGAATTGAATTTTCTGCATGATTCTCTTATTATTCTTGTCAATAGTCAAAGTGTATTGTTACTTGGTAAAAAACTTGCCTATCATGAGACATCAAAACATTTTGAGTGAAGTATCATTTTATTAGAGATTAGACAGTCTTAGGTGAAGTTAATCTTTAAGTTGAGAGATCACGTGGCAGCTTTCTATTGGCTAAGTGGTTAATAATCGGATTGTGCTTTCTCTCTTATGTCATGAGCCGTTTAATCTCATCAACGCGGTGATCTTTTGTTGATAGTTTTTAGGTGTGTGTAGTCATTCAATTGGTTTTCTTTTTGGCTTCTAGAGTCTCTCATCCTCATTGAAGTCACTTTTTTCTTCTCTCTTTAGTTTGGTGTTTCAGGTCTTGAAAGGATGTGAGAAATCCTTGGGTAAATTGTTATTGTAACAGTAACCTGGGGTCGATTTTTGGATACGTTGATTAGGTTCTGTGTACTGTGTATAGCATCTTAAGGTTTGGTTTTGGGTTGACGTTATAGGAGATCATTAGATCGATGACTAGAACTTAGACTCTGAGTTTGGTTCTATGTAAAGCTCTCTCTGCGGAAGGTTGATTGGTGCACATAGTGGATTGGGCCGATAGCAGAGCCCCCAAAGCTAGGTCATCTAGTGCTAAATTGGGTGAACAATTTGGTATTATTGTTCTTTAATTTATGCACTTATTTATTGTCTTGTGATTATTGAATATTTTCAGTTGTTGCACTAGCTGGATATATAGATTCTTGCTGGTGTAAAACTGATTTGGGACCAATAATCCCAACACTACATGATGTCAATTTCTAACAAGTTATTTTTTTTTTAATTTCTTATTTTTGTGAAAATTGGGTGATACTCATAAATTTAGTATCGTTTCATTTAAATAAAAAGTAAATGTCCCTTGTCTTGTCCAGAACAAAACTGAAGAAGATCATAGCAAGCGAAGCACTTAAAATTTTTTGGGAAAGGGCATATTCATCATCTAGGGTGTAGTATTCATGTTGCTTCATGTGGGAGCACGCCACTTGTCTTACTCCCCTCAAAATATTCAAAATGTTCAATATATGTACATTCAAGAGTGATAAACGATAATTAAAGAGATACTATCATACATTGAAAGGACTAAAATTCCAATAAATTAAAGTCATCATTAGAATGAAGTACAAATTGATTATGAAAGGTAAAAATTTGATTGAAAAATGAACACAATCAATAATTGACAAAGACAAAACAACTATAGCTGCAGCTCAACAAGCATGTTTGGTGCACGTGCACAATCTCATATACCATTAGCTACGAGAATCAACGTGATCTTATATTTTTCTTTCTTTCTCAATCTTATTTTTTACTATTTGGTCTCCACCGTACCAAACATGCTACGATAGAGTGTTGCACATTTTATTTTGTAATAAAGTACAATAAACTTATCATAATTTCTTCTGGCAATTATTTGAGGCGCCTGCAAAGAGTGAGGCCATCTCCAATGGAAAGATGGGCCAATTCAATACGAGAATCAGCTGCTAAGAAAGTGTTTAAGTCTCTGAGATGCACTCTATTAGCCCCAATGCGTTCTAAGGTTTCTTTGTCAACTTTATCCTCTGATAATGCCACTGTACCAGCCCATAGTGTGTTGTCAAATGCTATAATTCCACCAATTTTTACTAGCTTCAACAGCTCCTCGTGGTAGTTTATGTAGTTTTCCTTATCAGCATCCACAAATGCAAAATCGAAACTCTCTTCTTCTTCCTGCTTAATTCACAAAGAATAAGGAAACCTAAATTGCTCGAGATCCAAGTTAAAGAAACCCTGATTCATATATTTGTTGCCTCACATAGTTAATCGTACACTTCATTTCCATAAATAAAGTTGTTTGTTGGACCAACTCATTTAAAGCCTAAAATTATTAGAGTTGTGTTGAACTATGTCATTTAAAAGGCATAAAAATGTTTATTGCAGTTTATAAACTTGAACCAAGAATCTTTTTGTACTCTGAGACCAAATTGGTTGCCTCATTTGAGAGTTTTAAGTTTTTTGAGATTTTAAATAAGTTTAATTATTAGTATTTTATGTTCAACAAATTATGGTTAGTGATAATTCATGGCCATGAATTGTTCCTTGTAATGTTTTGAACATTATTTGAATATTGTACAAATGTGAGTATTATGTTACTCTGTACAAAAGCCATTCAAATTAATCAAATTTCACACACATATTTGTCGCATCTCTCTTGATAAAATGTTATTTAAATTTCATTAAAATATATAGAGTGGTAATTTCCAGGCATTATAGCAGATAGAGTGGAGATCAAAGTTGCAAGTAGGTAGAAACTACTTACATTTGCCCGAAAATCCTTAAGAATAGTCATGGCATCCGACTCAACGAACTGAATTTTATGGGCCACTCCTGCCTTTTCTATATATGGTAATCCTGTCTCGTAAGCTTCTCGATTTGGATCAATTGCGACTATCTAAATAGCAAGAAAATAAATATTCATAAGTTCTCGTAAATAAAATATTCTCGAGCACTCGTAGATAATGAATCCAATATATATATAAAACTTACTTTGGCATCATCTGGGAGAGCAAGAGCAGTAGAGAGAAGTGAGTAACCAGTAAATACTCCAACTTCTATTGTCTTCTTTGCATTCATTACTTTCAAAAGCAACGATATAAATTGACCTTCATCAGCAGGCACATTCATCACGCTCCTGAAAATTAAATAAAAAATATATATTTTAATGCATTTCTATCCAATGTAGTTAAAAGAAAGCCAAATGACAGATTGAGCGAGATGGATATTGACGTGATTAGGAATTTAGGATATCTTGTTAGTTGTGTGTAAGGATAAATTTTTTATCGAATAAATATATTACTATAAAGACTTGAGATTTGAGCTACTCTACTTACCAATACTCGTACTTGTTAACCGTAGCCATCCTGAGTTCTTTGAGTTGTTCATGCTCTCTTGGATATGCACTTGTTTCCAGTAGATACTACAATTTGAACAATGTAATTTATTAAGAAATAAAATCAAATTTCTATTTTTAAAATATTATTATAATTTGGGAAAATCAAAATCGTATTTGATCATTAAAAATTAGATACTAGGAAGCCATTAGAGTTTTTTTTTTTTTTTTATGAATTTTGAAATTGATAGATATTGCTCATAAGTTTGAAAATTTGGCTTTTATCATTTTTAAGCTTATAAGCTGTTTTGTATGCTTGGCTTTCTCTTTTTCATAGTTCTTATTTATTTTGATAAGAATAAGACTTTACTAAAATTCCAAGTTTACCTCTTCCATCAAGAATTCCTCAACCCTACTAAACACCCCCTCCATCACCTTTCCCCGCCACCGCAAGTTCCGCAACCAACTTCCCCGCCCAAAAAACAGCAGAGAAAGAACAACTACTCATTTATTTATTTATTTTTTAAAAGTCATCTTTTATTCAAACAAATAATCACGTATTTCAAAATAAACCCTAATGCATGTGAGAATGCATGCAGCATTTCACGAAGCAATGAGAATTCTAAATTCTACCAGCTAAAAAACGAACCTTAGTGAGGGCTTCGCTTTGCAGAATTGTGCTCGAAAACTTTTCCTTCATTGCCGAAAGATAAGTGATTAATCAAAAAGAGAAGAAAAAATTAAGCAAGAAATGTTTAGCAATAAACAAGAACAACTTATTCTGGTAAACTTCCTTAAATTTTCCTAGCTTCTTCTCATTTATATAGGATTTCTCTCAAGACTTGGCCTCTGCCAGCTACCCTTTATGGGTGGTTGGTGGATGCTTGTGGCGGTCGTCCTCCTTTTCCACCGTAAAAATCGCATCATATATACCTAAAAATATATATACACGCACACACACACTATGAGTACGTTTTTTTAATATGGATTGAGATGATATTTATTGTCATTATTGATCCAAGACAAGTTGTTTCCAAGCAAATGCAGCGGGGGCCCCAATTAAAAGTGGGGTCGGCTGCCTAAGGCCTCACTTTTATTAAGGTTCCAAAAATTATTACAAATAGTTCCTAAAGTATTACAAACAAAATAAAATCCAAATGTAATCAACCAAGCCAATTCAATAGTCTAATTAGCAAATATACTGATATTTAATTAAAACATAAACGTTGGGTTAGTTCAGTTTTTATTTGTGGAAGTATTTAAAGTTTAATCCTCTAGATATCTTAGTAAATCCAATTAAAGTAGATTTTATTATTTATTTTGGATTCCTTAATGGTACTTCAGGGCAAGAACTGTTTAGCGAATTATTATATATTTTAAAATACTTAAATTTGATATTAGTGATTTAAGAGGTCAAGTTTATATAGCTAATGTGAAATATTTGACACTTTTACTAGTATCACAAACACACTGGGAAAGTTGACTTGAAAGTTTTAAAACAATAAGATTTCAAGTACTAGAGCCGCTTTAGAACACTAAATAAAAATATATGATGACCTTAAGAAGATAGTTTTCCTTTTTTTTTTTTTGTTGGTTTTTTATTTAAGTTTTTTATTATTTTATGGGAAATTATTAAATTACTATTTTGCCCTTTAAAAATTGAGTAAACTGTGGTGAAAATTAATTTTGTGTGTCAAAATCACTTTTTTCGGTCAACTAATAGTAAATTGGACATATTCCATCCGAAAGGGCTCTAGATGCAACGTTTTAAAAGATTTGGAGTGACGGTTGAAACAAATGAAAGATTAAGAAAAATCTGCTAGTATTTAAAAGGTTTGGGGCTTTTGTTGTAATTATCCCATAAAAAATTTTTTTAAAAAAAATCTGTTAATAATGGTTATTATTGTGCCCCCGTCTCCTAAACCTCTACTTTGGGGGTTTTTCTACCGTAAACCTTCCTTAAAAACTACTCTCTACAAAATATGTGAAGGTTTCCCAGTTAGTTTGTTATATGCAAGGCATGATATCATATATTTTATCATAACGAGAAAATTATTCTAGTCTTTATGAAAAATCATTGTCGTGTAGAATCAATAATCCTATGAGAGATTTCAAGTATATCTGTAGCCTTGTGCGATATAATGTAATGGTAAAACACTTGACGCTTTGGTTTTTAAATATGAACATGGAATAAAGTAAACCATAGGATAAACGGCCACACTTAGATATAAACCGAAGCAACGCGTGATGCAGACATTTTGAGTTAAGAGACACAATCAAACTTCTAAAAAAGTTGTGAAAATTAACGAATTCCATATTATGCACTGTTGTTATATCTAATAAATTTCAAGAAAAATGCAAATATAGTGGTCTGAGTTTTAAAAATGCACAATCAAACGTGATCACGGTGAAAATCCAAGAAAATAAAGCCTTTTCTTTATGCATTGTCCAAAATCAACTCACCCATATTACACCAACAAATGCAAAAACAACTCCAAACTCCTAACCATATAGATTCATATGAACATGTATTGTAAACACAAGAGGGGAGCGCATATTAAGTGTAAATTAAAAAAAAAAAAAAGGGTAGTCATAGTGGAAAAGCCTCTGATTGAAGAAAAAGAAAAGAGAATATAAAAGATATGAAATTGATTGCCATAAACCAGCACTTGCAACAAACAAGAGGACAGCAATTTTCGATTTGCTTTCGAATCTTGATGTATTAAACTCAGTCTTCAATCTTCTCTCCAAGCTTCAACAAGAGAAAACCCCACTCAATCCTCTCTTTGTAATCACATGCCCACTTATCTTAATTTCTTTTTCCCTCAAAAGTTATTAAAGAAAGATCTGAAAAATGGACTACATATTTCGACTGCAGAATTATTAGGGTTTCAGCAGAAATAGGAGTTGGCAATACACTTGTGAGATAATGGTAAAAAAAAAAAAAAAAAAAAATTAAGTTGGTGAGTCACGTAACCTACCATGACCCCCCATTGGGTCCACCAGTGAACGCATGTCACGCCAATATTGCACATATGTATGTATGTCACATGCTGCGATATGTTTCGCTTGCCTTGTCGAAGATTTTCAAAGTCGTTCTCTCTAGGGATAATTTGAGTAGTCATCATGCATCCCATCATTCACATATACATAAAATCATGCCTCATGAAACTAAAATTTTTTGTTAAAGATGATTTTGCATATTAATTTCATTTCATCATATATAATTATATCAGACTTGAATTAATAAAAATGCATGTGGTAAAGTGAGCTATATTTATATATCTCGAAGGAGGTCAAACCCAATTAAGGAATATATGAATTTCGAATGGAATCTCTATACAACAATTTGGAGGAAATTGCCTATGAAGGCTCTAATTGGTGAAGAAAAAAGTAAAAAAGAACATTAAATGCATAAAAATTGTAATTGTATTAAACAACCTCTTTATTGGAATTCTCAACTAGTCTTAGTTTATATGTATTCACAAACGATCAGGTACGTCTTCAACAACTGGAGGTAGATCAGTCCATTTGGCACAGTTTTCTGTCAATTTTACATAAATATTGTCAGTTTGTCTCGATTAGAGGTCGATTGACTAATTAAAATCAATTACAATAACGTTATTCGAGACATTCTTCAACAAGCAACTGTTTGTTCTCGTTAAACCAGTAGGGCTGGAGTCGGTGGATTTCTCTCTAATTACATCCTGGATTTAAATAAATTATTCTTGTTTCGGTTTGTTAAAAATCAGATTTTTAGTAAAATTTGAAAAAGGTAATGAAGTATGTTTGTTGAAAAGATGATAAAAGTTGTGAATCTCATAAAATCTTTGATTAATAATGAGTTTTAAAAATTTGGAACAAATAAAGGCACAATGTTCCCGTGGCATTGAAGACTAAATATTCGGTGAAGTAACAGGGTGCTATACTGGAAGGATTTTCCTACTTGTACGTAAAATGGTACATAAGTGATTACATAAAATAATGTAAAAAGGAATGATTGGATGAAAAAATTAATTATATTTTAAATTGAGAAATGATAACCAATTACGTAAAGCTCAAAGTACATGTAACAATGTCCATACTGGAAACCATTGATCATACTCATTTGGTTGGACCTTATAATCTTATAGATATTGCAGCTCCACTAATAAGAGGTATTAAAGTTAGCATGTTTAATTCTCTGTACTTTATTTTAATTTATTTTTAACCACATATTCACACTATAAAATATTATATACATAAATCCAAAATTTTTCTTTACTTTTTAACCGTACATTCTCCAAAAATTACTACTCAAAACTATATCTTTTAAATTTTAAGGCCACCAAATAGAGGCTTAATCTTGACGATAAAATGTAGGATTTTAATTTGTTGTTTCAATATGAAAGGCTGCCTGAGCATTGCTTGTGGAATCATTAATATAGTGAATGTGAGTTCGTTGATAGGAATGGAGATTGGATGGAGGATAGTGAGTGGAAGTGTGAAGATTGACTAAGATCTCAAATGTCATGATTTAGTAGACAGTTCTCCCCCATGCACGAAGAGATGGAGGGACATGGATTTGCACTTAAAATGGCATCTATATCGAGGTCTTTAATGTCGGTATTTGAATGAGACTTCCAATTACATTATATCCAAGTGATTGAGGGTTCACATTCCTTTGATGAGAAGAGCATCAATGGTCTAGGTGCATTTTTGGTTTGACGCGCTTGGAGGCCGAGGTACAAATAATCATTTTGTGACATATGGGCATGAAATGAGGTTTTTACGGCTAACATGGAGCCCATGTAGATAATAATTATTTTATTACATAACATTTTATGCCTTTTGTCTTGACAGTTTTTTATAATTATAAAAATTAAAGATAATGTTGTTTGGCTTATATTTATCATGAGTACTAGACTAGCAGCGACAAAGCATCAAAATCCTTCATTCCATATAAACATGAAATTTGGACTTCAGGAGACTAATGTTAAGTGCCAAAATAATTATTGTTCATCCTAAACTCCACATTGATTATAAAAGGCCCCATTGTACCCCCACGTGTCACAAAACGAATACTTTCACCTTGGTCTCTGAAATGTGCAAACAACAAATGTGATTGACCTCCAAGGCTCTCATTATCAAGGAAAACAGACCCCAATCACTTGGCTAAAAGATAATTGAAAACCTTGTTCAAATAGAGAACTTCTAGGCCTTGGTTCGACCTCAGACATAGACGTCATTTAAGTGTGAGCTTGACTGAATTGTTCCAATGGTCATTGAACTTAGGTCTATGTTTTTTATTGGTCATTGAGGTTTAAAACATCGAGTTTTGATCACTAAATTTTGAAAAATATCGAATTTTGGTCATCGAACTTAGATCCATGTCTTCGATTACTCACTGAATTTTAAAATGTTGAGTTTTGGTTATTGAACTTTGAAAAATATTGTACATTACTCACAAAATTTTGAGAAATGCTATACATTACTTATTTTAAACTCAATATTTTTCAAAATTCAACAGCTATACTAGTGAGTAATGTACAACATAGTCAAAAGTTCAGTGGCCAAAATTTGACATTTTAAATTTTAGTAAACAATATAAGACATGTACCTAAATTCAGTAAGCAATCAAAGATATTGACCTAAGTTTAGTGATCAAAACTCGACATTTTAAATTTTAGTGATCAATAGGAAAACATGTACAGTTCAGTGAACAATTGAAGAGATTGACATAAGTTCAATGATCAAAACTCGACATTTTTAACTTCAGTGACCA